AACCCACTGGCTCAGCGTCGTCGCAGCAGGCACCCAGCGGAGGCGCAGCATCTGCGACGCAGGACGAGGCGGCGCAGGAGCCGCAGGGGATGGTGGACTTGCTCTACGGCGAGTTTGCCAAGCTGATGGAGGCCGACCTGCTCGGCCTGTACCACGTGCCGCCGACGGACGCCCACCTGTACGTCGGACGCGCGGCGAACCCGAAGTTTGTGGAGAGGGACGTGCTGGTGCCAGGTGGGGGACCGTACCCCAAGGGCTGCCCAGTCTCTGCTCGATGGCGCCGCATCGGGGCCGTCATGTGGGAGATGATGGCAGCTCGCAGGCGCTTGCACGTGGAGACGGCGATCCCAGCGGCCCTTGCTCAGTTGAAGGGGCTCGCGGCCAAGGCGGGTGCCCTGGCATCGGATGACCTCGGCGGCGACTTGCTCACGGTAGAGGAGGTTCGTAGGTGGAAGCGCCAGCTGCACACGCTCAGCCACCTCACCTTCCGCGAGTTGGAGAAACTGGAGCAAGAGGCCAGGGACTTGGCGGCGAAGCTGGAGGACCGCTGCGGCAAGAAGCGATGCCATCAGTGGCGCCAGTGGGCGCAGGAGGCGGTGCAGGACGGTGCGGGCGCCGCCCACCGCTACTGCAAGGCGCCGCTGGCCTGGGCCCCAGACCTCGAGGGCGAAGGGGGGCCAGCAGGCATCTCGGCGACGCTGGACGCGCTGAGGGACGAGTACTTGGAGGTGTGGAGGCACAAGGAGGTGATGCCGCTCGACTTGGACGACGCCCTTCCCTCCGAGCTGCTCGAGGAGGCAGGGGCGGCGCCCACCCCTGAGGCCATCAGGCGGGCGGCGGCTTCGTTCAAGGCGTCGACGGCGACGGGTGTGGACTGCATCAAGCCCCAGTCCTTCGGCCTCCTGAGTGACGACGGTTTGCTCGCGCTGGGCTTGGTGCTGCAGATGCTGGAGGCGACTTGCAGGATCCCGGGGCAGCTCGACACCCTCTACATCTTTTTCCTGGCCAAGGCCGAAGGCGGGTGGAGACCCATCGGCCTCTTGAGCAGCCTCGTCAGGCTGCTGGGCAGGATACGCCGAGGAGAGGCCCAGGAATGGGAACGCCAGCATCCCAGGGACTTCTTCTTCGGCGGCGAGGGCAAGTCATGCGAGGACGCGGTATGGCTGCAGGCCTTCGACGCGGACTTGGCGACAGCGATGAAGCAGCACTCGATGACGTCCATGCTGGACCTGTCCAAGGCTTACGAAAGGGTCAGCCATGCAGGGCTGGTGGCTGCAGCCCGAAGACATGGCTTCAGGTTAAGGCGCTTGAAGCTCATCCTCCGATCGTACGGGGGACGGCGTAGACTCTGTCTGAGCAAGTGGGTCTCGGAGGCCTTCTCGCTGGGGACGTCGATCGTGGCGGGGTGCACCTTCGCTACGACGCTGCTGAAGGTTATGCTCCTCACGGCCATGGACCTCCTCATGCAGACCTGGCAGAACGTGCGCGCCTACCTGGTTGTGGACGACGTCACGCTGGCGGTGTACGGGCGGCTGCGCGACGTGGAGTTCGGGGTCTTCGGCGCGACCAGGTGGCTCTGCCAGAGGTTGGAGGAGGATGGCTTCACGATCTCGGTCACCAAGGGAGTGATAGTCTCCAGCGACATCGGCGCTGGCAAGAGGACGGCCCACCGCCTCAGGAAGTGGGACTTCAGGCTGCGGCGCGAGGCCAAGAACCTGGGGATTGACTTCAGGCTGGACGGCAAGGCCTCATGGGGCGTGCTGCGCGGGCGCCTGGGGCGATTGGCTGTGAAGGCATCGCGCTACATGCAGCTCCGACGGGCTGGCGCCAAGCTGGGCTCAGTCTTCAGGTGCAGCGGCCTGGCGACCATCCTCTACGGGGCCCGCGTCAGGGGAGCGCCGTCCAAGGTCCTTGACAAGGCCAGGACCATCAACGGCCAGGCCATATCGGGGGCGTGCGGCAGGCGGTGCAGGACGCTGCAGTTCGCGGTCCAGCCTGGGACGGGTTGGCGCCGCGACCCTGCCTACGCGGCCAATGGTCTGCCGCTGCTGGGTTGGGCCAAGGCGGTGTTCCAACGGGCCAGGCCCGCGAGCAGCATGGGCACCGTGTTCAGCGCTGCTCAGCCTGCCCATTGGGGCCAAGTCACTGGACCTGCAGGGGCGGTGCGCCTCAGCCTCGCTCGCATAGGCTGGCGAGCGGAGAGCTGGCACGTCTGGATCACCGATAGGGGCGAGCGCCTCGACCTGACGGTGCACAGCCCGAAGCTGGTCGGGGTGTGGGTCGAGCGGGGCGTGCACAGGGCGCTGATGAGGACGGTGCCTGCCCACTTCCACGACCAGTTGGAGGGGCCGCCCACCATGTACCCCGTCCGCGCGGCACTGGACCTGATCAGGGGGCTGGGCGACGCGGAGCAGACGGCGCTGGTGGAGAGCCTCGTGTGCGGAGGCCTTGTCTCGCAGTGCAACCTCTGCGACGAAAGGGCGGCCCTCTCCTCTGACTGCCAGTGGTGCGGCTACGGCATGGGCACGCACCACCACAGGCTGTTCTGCTGCGAGGGGACGGCGACGGTGGCGCGCGACATCGGCCTGGATGCTGTGCGCGCAGCAGGCGCAGCGGCGGCGGTCACGGACATGGGCTTCGTGCGATGCCTCGTTCCGCTCGGGCTGGAGCAGGCGCCGCAGCCGGCTGCTGCCGAGCGGAGTCTGCGCGCGGGGGCCCTGCGGAGAGCGGGGTGTTCGGGCACCGTGTGCATAGACGGCTCAGCCTTTTTCCCGCAGCTGGTGGAGATCACTCGCACTGGCTGGGCTGGTGTCATGGTCACCCCAGACGGCCGTGTGGCAGGAGGCGTGCTGGGGACGGTGCCAGGCCAGGTACAGGAGATTGGGTTTGCCGAGCTTTATGCGCTGCTGGTCGTATTGCGTGAGGCCGACGGCGACCTGGAGATCATCACGGATTGCAGGAACGTGGTGGACGATTTCGAGAAGGGCGAGCTGTGGTGCACCAGCCCAGAGTCCAGGTACGCGGAGCTCTGGAGTGAGGTGTGGACGCGAGCCCACGACATGCCTGGGACGCTGGCCCTCCGCTGGACTCGTGCCCACACCAGCTGGGCGGTGGCGGAGGCGGCAGGGGTGCCAGCACACTGGCACATCGGCAACCTGGAGGCCGACGTGCGAGCCAAAGAGGGCGCCAGGCTGCACTGGGACTTCGTGGAGATGGAGGAGCTCGCCACCCGTGTGAGCTCGGCGGTGGAAGCGAGCAAACTGCTCCTCCGCCATCATGGCGCCGTGTTGAAAAGTGTCGCTGGCGCGGGATGGCCCGATCGGAGTCCTCTTCCCCGACCCTGCCCCCAGCAGGTCCTTTCCCTCGTGGCGAACCCTAATGGGCACGTCTTGGGCCGTCTTGGGAGGACCTGGGGATGTGGCATCTGTGGGGTAAGGAATGGGCTCCGATCTCGTATAGTCTGCCACCCGTGCCCTGGAGTGCCTAGGCCTGCGGCGATCGCCCATCCCTCCCATAGGCTGTGGGTGGTTCGGCGTGGGCGTGGGACGGGTGGTGGGGTCGGTCGGAGCCATGGGGGGGACGAGGCGATCGTCTTCTGTAAGCTCTGCGGGGCTTACGCCCGTCGGCAGACCCATCTTTTGGCCGTGCCCTGCCGTCCCTGGTCCTGTCGCCCCAGGGACTCGGTCCGTCTGGGGAAGGTTGCCCTGGACCGTCTGCGGGCTGGACGGGAACCCCAGGGCGACGTGTTTTGGGGGCACCCGTTTCCGCTCGCCCGTGTGTCGGCCCCTGGTCCGAAAGCGGTCGAGGGAGCCGAGTCTGGTGCTCTGCGGGCACCGCCAGCCCTTGGCGGCGCTGCGCCAGTCCAGGTGCCCCGAGGTTCCGAGGTGGTTTGGCCTTGACTTCGGTGGCGGGTCCTGCCACTGAGCAGGTGAGCGAGTCTCGGCAGAGCTGGACCCGCTTGGTAGGATACCAGAGGATACCAGAGGAGGAGGAGGAGGAGGAGGGAGGAGGCGGAGCACGAGGACGAGGACGAGAATGAGGATGAGGAGGAGGAGGTGGAGGAGGAGGATAAGGCGGAGGAGGAGGGATGGAGGGAGGGAGGGAGGGAGGGGATGGGGAGGAGGAAGGAGGAAGGAAAAGGAAGGAGGAAGGAGGAGGAGGAGGAGGAGGAAGGAGGGAGGAGGAGGCCCCGGGCCCCGCCTTTCCTTCCCGGGGTAGGCAGGCCGTGGCCGGTCGTGCGACCAAAGGCGAGATCCTCCTCCTTTCTCCTTCCTCCCTTCCTCCTCCTACTCCTCCCTCCTCCTCCTCCTCCTCTACTCCTTCCCTCCTCCTCCTCCTCCTCCTCCTCCTTCCTCCATCCCTCCTCCCTCCCTCCCTCCCTCCTCCTCCTCTCCCCCCTCCCCTCCTCCCCTCCCTACCTCCCTCCCTCCCTCCCCCCTTTTCCCTCCTCCCTCCTCTCCTCCTCCTCCTCCTCCTCCTCACTCCCTCCCTTCCTCCCTCCGTCCCTCCCTCCCTCCCTCCCTCCCTCCCTCCTCCCCGTCCTGCTCCTCCCCCTCCCCCTCCCCCTTCCTCCTCCTCCTCCCTTCTCCTCCTCCTCCTCCTCCTCCTCCTCTTAAGTCGGGCACGTCCATCTACAGGCGGAGTATTCAAAAATAGTCACAACATAGTCTAGGGACGATCTGTTAGTTATGTTTTGTCTATTTGGGAGTATGTTTGTGAGTATTTTTAGTTGTTTCTCCAAAGTCCGCCTGAACGGGGGGACATGCCCGATCTAATCCTCATTCCTCCCGTCCCCCAGTCACTCGAAAGTGGTGGCGCCGTTCGCATTGCAGTGGAGCTCACATTGCCGAACTCGTCGGTTGGAGAACACACTGGTTATTCGACAGTCTTGTACGCAGAATCCGCCCTCCCTCTTTGGGGGGCTGCCATGTGCGGGAGCCGCTGGACAGGGGCTCGAGCACCCGCGCTGGTCGTGGCGCGCGGCCGCCTGGGAGGCCTGCATGCGCGACGGCCGTAGGCTGGCCACGCCCTTCTGGCTCCGCCGCCTCCTGATTCGGACAGCCGGTTTCGTCCATTTCGCTGCCGCGACCCCGCCTGTCCCCTCCGCACTTCTGTCCTCCTCCCTTCTCTCTCTCTCTCTCTCTCCCATTTCCTTCGCTTCAGTCTCCTGCCCTCCGCTTCCTTTCCCTGCCCCCCTCCCTTTCCCCTGCTCCTCGTCCGGCTCCTCACTCTCCCTGCCATGCCGGTCCATCTGCTCGCCTCTGCACCTTCACCTCTTCCGCCTCGTGAAGCGGAAGCGCAGCTGGGGGCACCCCGCCTACATAGGAGAGAGCGGCCACTTCTGACGATGCCCGGGCCCACTCGGGAGCTTGAACCGCGAAGCTGTGGCACAACGTCTCTCTCAGACTCTCGGGGCCTGGAAGTGGCACCGCGCGTGCAGTACCCCTGAGTACCTCTGAGAGGAAGTGGGGCAGGGAGGGAGGCAGGGCGGGAGGGAGGGACGGGAAGAAGGAAGGGAGGGAGGGAGGGAGGGAGCCCAGACCCCCGACGTCGTGATTTTGTTCACAACGTCGACACCCAGAGGTCTGGACCCCTTCCCCGGGACCAGGCTTTCATGGCCGCGGTCCGGAAAGGGCCCCCGGAGGCCGAAAATGCCCCCACCCCCCCAGAAAAAAAGAAGAACAATACGTCCGTCGTGATTTTTTTTTCACACCGCGAGGGAGGGTCTGATAGGGAGGGAGGGCTGGTGCTGCACTGGGGAGTGCCTGCCAGCCCGCGCCGCCACGCGACCTCCGTGCGCCCGCCGGGCCCCTGGCGTCGCGCTCTGCCGCTTCCGCTGCGCATCTCCCCGCCGCGCCCACCGCGCCGCGCCGCCGCCTCCGCGCCCGCCGGCGAGCAGCCGCGGTAGGCTCATGTGGCGATGGCGCGCCGGCGACGCCAGCGAAGGGTGGAGCGAAGGAAGAGGAGGAGGAGGAGGAGGAGGAGGAGGAGGAGGAGGAGGAGGAGGAGGAGGAGGGGGGAAGAGGAGGAGGAGGAGGAAGAGGAGGGAGGAGGAGGAGGAGGAGGAGAGGAGGAGGAGGAGGAGGAGGAGGAGGAGGGGGAAGAGGAGGAGGAGGAGGAAGAGGAGGAGGAGGAGGAGGAGGAGGAGGAGGAGGAGGAGGAGGAGTTGTTGTTTTTGCCAAGGCGTGGCATCTGCCCCTGCACGGTAGTGCGATTCGGAAGCACCGAGGGACACTGTAGCGCCAGCGGTCCCGACGGGATTCATCCTGGAACGATCGGGACCGCGATCTGTTCAAGGTTGAGCGATCGACGCGGTGTCAAAGACTTCTGCGCGCGCGCTGACGCCACACGAACCTACCGTACGCTCGCTTTGAAGTGCAGCGCGTACCATGTTCAAAACATCTGCGCTGACACGCTGCGCACGAGTACTTGGCCAAGGTTTTTTGTCCGAGGAAACTACCAGAACGCTGGCCCTGGTATCTTGACTCATCACTTACTTAATCACAATGTTCGGCTCGCAGGCTTCGAGGTTGACACCAACACCAATATCGGCGGCGTGCCTCCACCGAGGGAAGAAGATCCCAGTCTCGGTGAAAGTGGTAATATTCTGGTTTCCAAGGTGGCCGAAATATCACCACCAACACCGAAATCTAGGATCACCTTCCCCCCGAGGAGGCAGCCCCCTGTGTTGGTGTTGGTGCCAATTTCCAGGCCTCCAATCTACGCGTTGAGCCCCGGCACGCTGCGGGTGGCGTGCTGCCTCGCAGCCGAGCCGCTGAAGTAGAGGACCGCTGCGGGCTCAGGAGGGGCTCTTCGTATTCGGGCCGCTCTCGGGGAGATCTGGGCCGGGGGGCCCTCGGCATGGCCGGGGCTCGCGGTGGCCACGGCAGGAGAGCTCATTCGTTTCCTCTTTGGAGTTTCAACCAGTGGCGAAGCGTCCTGGCTCGCCTATAGGGCCACGACAGAATGTTCCAAGAACCTCTTGTGGTCTGCACGAAATGTTATTAGAACATTTCTGGCTGGGGCTGTCTTGTTTTATCACATCGGGCTTATGCTCTAATAACATTGTTTATGCTATCACAACGTGTTTGGGTTCTAAGAACATGTCGTGGTAGACCTATAGGAATGCTGGGACGGTCGGTCTCTGCTGAACCTTCGTACGAGTTCGTCGTAGGCAGCACGCTGACTGAATAGCACCACGGTTCGGATGCAACTCCTGGGAGGTCCAGTCTGACTTTGCCCTGGTTCGAAGTCCGGCTGAGTCATGCTTGATCTGGCTTGATCCCGCCTGGTCCGACCGAACCCCGCTCAATCCGCAGCCTATAGCTCAGCGTAGAAGCGCCCCTGTGGGGCTTAATCTTCCCTAACCCTTTCGATGAAGACCTCCCGGCAGTTGCCTCCCAACCACGGGCGCGGAGACTCGCAGCTTCGAAGGCGCTTGTAGGGCTAGGATTGCTGCCATTCCCGGTCGCAGGGCAGAGCACGCGCAGGGGCCTCGTGCGCCTCGTCGCTCCCTCTGTCGGGCAGGCGGTCCCTCCTGTGCCGCGGGGCCTCTGCGGAAGTGGACGGCGCCTCGCCAGGCCTCCGACGCCGTGGCCTGTCCGTGGCGGGACGCCATCCCATGGGACCACTCGCCGGGGTGGCCTCTGGTGCGGGCCCATAAGTGCCCCCCCGATCGCCGAATGGGACGCAACATCTAGGGGGGCCCCATGCGAAGCCTACCCCTACCCCCCACGATTTCTGAGGGGGAGGGTGGGGTTCACTTCATCCGGGAACCTTCGAGCGAAGTGAACCCCACCCTCCCCCTCAGAAATCGTGGGGGGTAGGGGTAGGGTTTGCATGTGGCCTCCTAATATCAGCGGCTTGCGCGCTTGAGTTTGGCCTCCTTGCGCCCCCCGAAAGCCACGCACTAAAGGTCACTCTTACCCAGGGTCGCTCTTGCGTGTAGCCGAGCATCGGCCAGACGTGTGCATGCCTTTCGCGGCAAGGACCATGCAGGAGCATCCTGGACCATCGTGCGGAAAATGAGCGCACGGAGCCGACAACAAGCACGGGGAAAGGACGTCCGTAATGGGCACATTTTCCACCACCCCTACCACTGGTAGGACAGGGGACATGGGAGGATGCGGAGGTCCTCCTCCTCCCCTCCTCCTCCTTCTCCTCCTCCTCCTCCTCATTCTCCTCCCCCTCCCTCCCTCCCTCCTGGTTCTCCTCCTCCTCCTCCTCCTCCTCCTCCTCATCCTCCTCCTCCTCCTCCCTCTCCTACCTGTGGTAGTGGTGGTGGAAAGTTGACCCATCCGTCCGAGCGACGGCCAGGGGACGGCCTTCCTTCTGCGGATGGCCCCCGGGGGCTCGACGCGGGAGCCCGAAGGCCCGAGGCCGAGGCTGGAAAGACGCCAGCCCGCCACGACTTGCGCCACGCACGCCGGAGGCCTGGGCCCGCGGGGATGCATGGCGCGCCGGGCGCGGCGACCGACGGCGGCCCAGAGATCTCGCAGGAGCAGGGCCTGAGCGGCAACGGTGGTGTCCTGAAGACCACCTCCTCGTCCTCCTGCTCCTCCTCCTCCTCCTCCTTCTCCTCCTTCTCCTCCTTCTCCTCCTCCTCCTCCTCCGCCACCTCCGCGAGCTCCTTCTCCTCCGCCTCTTCCTCCTCGTCCTCCTCCGCCTGCTTCCAGAGATCTCGCAGGAGCAGGACGTGACTGGCAACGGAGGCGTCCTGAAGACCATCCTCCGTGCCGGCTCTGGCGATGCGCCGCCCGCGGATGTTCCGGTCATCAGGGAGCGCCGACTGGTAAGGCTGCGGGTTGCGCACAGACAGCCCCCCCAGGTAATTAGTCCTGGGTGGCTCAATAGGCCCCCCCGAGTAGCCCCACCTGGCCACAACAGGCCCCCCTAGTAATTAGTCCATGACGGTCTGGAGACCCCTTCACTGGGGCGCGGAGCGACCAAGGGGCGCCGCCGGAGCCGGCGCCAGGGTGTCGAGACCGTCCCAGACCGGGAGGAGGAGGAGGAGGAGGAGGAGGAGGGGGAGGAGGAGGAGGAGGAGGAGGAGGAGGAGGAGGGAGGAGGAGGAGGAGGAGGAGGAGGAGGAGGAGGGAGGAGGAGGGAGGAGGAAAGGAGGAGGAGGAGGAGGAGGAGGAGGAGGAGGAGGAGGAGGTGTGAGGCCAGCTGGGACAGCTCGGCGGGCCCGCTGACCCCAGCTGGGACTATCTGGTGGGGGGGGGCTGTCTGTGCTCACCCCGCAGCCTTGCCAGCGCCGACGGGTGTTCCAGAAGGGGCCTCGTCTTGGACGGGTCGGCAGGCTGGTGTCTCCTCTGATGCGGGATATCACGAGGGCGGACCCAGGCAGCGGAATGCTGGCGGGAGCGTCCTCGTCCTCCCCCTCCTCCTCCTCTTCCTCCTCCCCCTCCCCCTCCTCCTCCTCCTCCTCTTCCTCCTCCCCCTCCTCCTCTTTCTCCTCTTCCTCCTCCTCCTCCTCCTCCTCCTCCTCCTGCCCTTGTTTTCTAAACGTGTTTGCCCTCGCCCCGCAGGACCAGGCCGACGCGATGCCGTTGCCATCGCCTCTGCTCAAGCTTGAAAGGCGGCCACCACCAGAGACCTGCATGCTGCCAAGTCTTTCTGCCTTCCCTGGCTTGCTCGCGCGCGCGGGCAACTGGGCAGCATCTCTCGGGCCAGCCGTCGAGGTTGCCCGACAGTGCTTCTTCCAGAGCCAGGTCGCGGACTACTTGGGGCTGGCTCTCTCCTTCGTGTTCTGCCTCGGGCTGCTGATCGGCTGCTCTCTGACCCTGTGCTGCCATGTCTGTCTTCAGAGCCGGGCGCCGAGTGGCCGTGCAGTGGCACCAGAGAGGGTCGTGGGAGACCCGTATTCTGATCGCCCCGTGCGGCGCCGACGAGGCCAAGACCGAGGGCGACGTCGCCGCGACTCTAGCTCAGGAGAAAGCGGGGTTGATCTGGTACGCGTTGACCCCCGACCTGGACATTTATCCACACGTGTTCGAGGTCGGGGACGGGCTGCTGACTGGTATCGTGGCATTCAGCAACGAGGGCCAAGTGATCGCGGGGAGCAACCATGGGAAGAAATGGTCAGCTCGGAGTGCGGCATACGGCGACGACTGGGATCCGACGCCCCTCGAGGTTATGGAGGCGTTGGAGTTCGTGCAGAGCCCGTCGTTGCCAGCCGACAAGTACAAGAGGTACCACGGCAAGCAGGCCCCCGCGCCCGTGACTGGGGCAGCAGCTCAAGCGACTGACTTCGAGTCGGGTAGGGACGAGCTGCCAGATGCGGGGCCGCTGGAGTGGCACGGGCTGACCTCGACCGACGGGAGTGCTGACAAGCAGAAGCTGAGCACGATCAAGGTGGACTCGTTCGTGCGGATGGGCGACTATGTGTTGGCGAGGCGCGGGGGGGCCCTGATCATCGCAGCCGCGGTGGATCCCTCAGCGCCTGGCCCAGAGTTCGAGCTGGACGCCCGCCTGCTGCCGATGACGCTTAGCGCGCAGCAGATTCGTCATCTTCCTTTCACGAAGGGGGTGAGCCAGCTGACGGAGACTTCTTGGACAGGGTGGCCCATCATGGGCCCTCGCACAGTGAAGTGGTGCGTAGATTTTCTTTCACAGCAGGACCAGCACCCTCGTGCTCGTCACACAAAGTGGGTGCACGAGGCCAACTTGGAGCCGTGGGACGAGGGCGTGCAGGATCACGACCTGGCGATGAGGATGTTCGAGATGGGCATTGTGTTCGACCAGGTGAACATCGCTGAGCACGCGGCCTACGAGCTTCTGGCCCGCCGTGCTCAGATGGCGGAGTGGCGTCATCGTGACAGGGTGCTGGGCCGATCTAAGGACGAGCTGTTCGACGACCAGTTTCTCTACATGGGAACGGGGGAGACCAGAGGCTTGCTGATGGTTTCCCCCGAGTTGCAGGAGCACATCAACTCCGAACTCCATCGCGAGGCGTCCATCCTCAAGGAAAAGCGGAAGGTGCGCGAGGAACGGGCTCTCGCTCGGGGCGGCGGAGGAGGTGGCGGTGGAGGCGGTGCAGGCGCTTCCAGCAAAGCCGAGCTTCAGAAGAAGGTGCAGCAGCAGGCGGCGGAGCTCAAGAAGTGGCAGAATGCCGCCACGGGCGGCAAGGCCGACGGCAAGGGCGGCAACTCATCCGGCCCAGGGGCGGCCGGGATGAAAGCTTGACTCGAGCATGCCCGTGCCGCGGGAGCTGTTCCCTGTGGACGGCGCCCGTGGCGCCCCCGTCGCCTCTCCAGGGGCGACGTGCTGCCGTGCTGTTCGGTCTCGAGCTCGGCGCCGCGGCTACATCGACAATTGGGTGCACGAGGCCTCCGAGAGCCTCAATCTTCTGGCTGGCGTTCAGGCTCCAAAGTCCGAGTCGGGCGCCTCCGTGGCGCAGTCAGAGGGCCTGCGACACCTTCGTGAAGTCATCAGCAGCGTGGGGTCTCCCCCATGCAGCGCCGCGGAAGCCCATCGGGAGCTTTGCGGTGTCGCGCCCGGCTACGACATGGAGTCGGTGCATCGAGCTGCGTATCAACGAGAACGAGTTTCTCTACCGTCCCCGGGCATGCGCTGCAAGCCAGACGACGTGCTGAAGGGCGACGTGCTTGATCAATGGGTACACTGGCAGCAGCGCATCCTGCGTCAACACCCCGCCGATGTTGAAGACATCAGGCCCTACTCCGACCAGGCCCTCGTTCGCGATCGAGTCGGGCACGCTAACTTCATTTCTGACCTTTATCGTTTGGGCCTGGTCTCGCTTGGCAAGAGGCGCCCTCACACAGTGGGGGTATTTTTCGTCTGGAAGTCCGACAAAGTGCGGCAAAGGATGATTTTGGACACCCGTCGGGTGAACTCACGGTTCGTGGATCCAGCCTACACTCAGTTGGCCACTGCATCGGCCTGGAGCACCATCAAGGTTGGCACCGACGCGGAGCTGAACTTGGCCCAGGCCGACGTGGATAACGCCTTCTACAGGATCGAGCTGGCCCCGGGCATGTGCGACCACTTCGCGCTGCCGGCCGTGCACAGGGAGTCGCTGATCGGGGCGCTCGGTGTGGAGGGCTCGTCTCTTCCCCCAGGCGCCCTGATATCTCCGCTGCTGACAGTTCTCCCAATGGGGTGGGCCTGGTCACTACATTTCTGCCAACGTTTACTGGAGCAGTGCGTGCTCGATGCTGGATACCCCGAGGAGTTTTTCATTCGCGACCGCCATGTGGCCCCAAGTCTGGACAAAGTCTCGCTGGGCATCGGGGTGTATGTGGATAACGTCGCGGTCGTGAGCCAGGACTCCAAACTTGCTGTCGCTGCCTGTGAGCAGATAGTCAACAGGATGGAGAGCGTCGGTCTTGCTTGCAAGGGCGTGAGCCCGCCCTCTGACGAGCAGGTGTTCACTGGCATGGTTTTTGAGAAGAAGTCTGCTACGATCAAAATGTCTGCATCTCGAATCTGGAAGACCCGTCTGGCGCTGCTCTGGATCGCTGATCGCGGGTGGGCGACAGGAGACGAGTTATCACGTCTGCTCGGCCACTTCACTTGGTGCGCGCTGCTGCGCCGCTGCATGCTGAGCCTGCTGTTCCAGTCGTACATTTTCGTGCGGAAGGCAGGGAGTTCCAGACGTCGGCTGTGGGCTGAGGTGGAGACGGAGATCAGGCAAGCAGCTGCTCTTTTGCCCTTCGCCTTCGCGGACTGCCGCCGCCTGGACGACCCAGTGGTGCTGGCGTCGGACGCCTCTGGCGCGGGCTTGCAGGACCACGGGGGCTTCGGGGTCACGGAGCTCGAACGGGACCCAGAGGCCGTGGAGCTTGCCATGGCCCAGAGCGAGCGCTGGAGGTACGGCGTCAGCTCGGCCATTTCGGCACGGGCGTCGGCACTGGGGCTCCACGCCCCGCGTGGGCCACGGGCAGCTGGCACGGAGGACCTGGTTGACCAGTTGGCCAGCCTTACGCCTGCGAACAGCGCCGAGGGCGAGTCCTCGCCAGCGGCGGCCGGTCGGCGACGTGGCACCACCGACTTCGTTTCGGTGCCAGAGGAGCTGGTCGGCGACAAGCGGGCGTGGAAGGTCCTTTTCAGCGGCCGCTTCAGGCGCGCAGAGGATATCATGACCTTAGAGGCGCGTGCAGCTCTGATGGGTGCTAGGCATCGCTTGCGTGCAGTCGGGCGTTTTCATCGGCGCCACCTTACGCTGATCGACAATTTGGGCCTTGTCTTGGCCATTGGAAAAGGAAGGTCCGCTTCAGTCACTGTCAATCGTCAGCTTCGCCTGCTCGCAGCGTTGTCAATTTTCTCAGGATCTACCTTTATCGGTCGTTGGATCCCCTCAGAGTGGCAGCCTGGGGACGCTCCGTCACGTATAGCATCGGCTCAAGTATCTGATCCACGGGGTGATCCTCGGCATGCTAGTTACTCTGAGGCCTTCAAGCAATGGAGGGCCGCCGAGGCTCTGCGGGCCCAAGTTGACGAGGTCCTCCTGCGCGACCGTGCCAACAGTGCAGGGGCGGGCCTCTGTGGGCTTGGTGACCTCCTCGTCGAAGACCCTCAGCCAGGCGGCGCGGCCCACGCCATGTATTGGGAGCCTCGCTGCATCAGTGGTACACAAGGGTCGACGACGGCCAGAAGTTCGAGTGACAGTTCCACCTCTGCTTCGGCAAGCAGCAGCGAGAGTGCCGTCGACCTCGCGGATGTCGGCGGCAGCGAAGCTGGAGGCCCGAGCAGCTCACCGGCGGCGAGTGCATGGCTTCAAGGCGCAGTCGGCGCAGCAGCTGGGCCTCACGGTGCTGCAGTTCGAGAAGGTGGGGCACCACGCGAGGAGGAACTTCCAGCGCGAGTGGGACGAGTTCCGCCAGTGGTGCCAGGAGCGGGGGGTGACCCCCGTTACGGTCGAGCAGGTGAACACCATGATGCCTCTGTACCTCGATGCGCTGTTCTTCGCGGGCTACAACCACGACCGCGCCGACAAGCTGTACGCCGCCCTCAGGTACTTCCTCCCGAAGGCAGGGATCGGCGACCACGGGAAGATGGAGGCGACGCTCGCCGCCATGAAGGGGTACCGCCGCCTGGGCCACGGGCAGACGCGGGCTCCGCTTCCCAAGCCGCTGGTGTTCGCCGCTGTGGGGTTGGCCACTCTGTGGGGGTGGCGCGACATGGCGACTGCGTTGTGCTTGAGCTGGGACACCTACTTGCGCCTCCCCAGCGACCTCCTGCAGCTGACGGGAGCTTCGCTGGTGCCGCCTGTGCGCCTCCCAGGGGGCGCGATGCCGGCTGGGGAGGCGTGGGCGCTCCTGCTGTACCCCGAGGAGCAGCCGCTGCGGAGCAAGGCGGGCCAGTTCGACGAGAGCGTCACCTTGACGTCGGCCATGTCAGTGGCCATCGGGCGCCGCCTGCAGCAGCTCAAGGACGCGGCAGGGCCCGAGGGGCGGGTGTGGAGCATGACGGCCTACGAGTTCGGCCGCAAGTTCCGCGCGCTATTCCGCGCCCTGGGCCACGACACGGCGCACCCGTACCAGGTGCGCCACGGGGCAGCGAGCTGCGATGCGGCCGAGGGGCTTCGGGCGCTGGCAGACATCCAGCACCGCCTGAGGCGCGCCACCGACCGGTCCAGCAAGCGGTACGCGAAGCACGCCAGGTATCTGGCAGAGCTGGCAGCCGTTCCCAAGCCCATCCTGAGCTACGGGCACCAGGTGAGCGAGCGGCTGGCAGAGGTGATCACGGGGAAGTTCCAGCCGGCGCTCCCCGCTACGCTGATGGCGACGGCCCCCTGAAGGCAGGTTGTGTGTGGAAGGCGGGCGATGCCGGTCAAGCCGTACGCCGCGTCTCGTATTCCGTTCTACTTCGTAGGTGCCAACGTGCACTTCGCGAGGCTCTGCGTCGAGGGAGACGTCGACAGGTTTTTCTCGATTTGTTTTCTGGGAGCAGAAGTGTGAGTAAGGAGTTGGAGAAGACGGGGGAGTGGGGAGTCGTGTATCTCGATCTTGTCGACGACGAAGCCTTCGACTTGACCAATCCTGCCCTCATCAGAATCATCAGAGGCTGGATATCGAGTCGGGTCGTTCGAGGCGTATTTCTCGCTCCTCCCTGTTCAACATGGTCGAATGCATCGCATGGGTACTACAGAGATATGAATTCAATATATGGTCGAAGCGAGCTGGATAGCAGAGCGAAGCAGCGGGTCCTCATCGGTAACATCACCGTGAAGCATAGCCAGCAGATCATCATGATGTGCCTCAAATACGGAGTCCCAGTCATTATGGAGAACCCCTTGACCTCGCTCGTGTGGAAGGAACCCGTCCAGGACCACCTTCGCTCGCTTCGAAACTGTGTAGTGACATGTACTGACTACTGCAAGCACGGGACCAGATGGAGAAAATCGACCAGGTTTTGTGCGTGGTGTTGTGGCCGTGCCCCCTGGGTCCTGCAGAAACGATGCTCTGGAAGAAACGGTATCTGCTCGGCCACGGGACTGGGGCATATCACGCTCCAGGGGAACGGTCCTGGCGGAAAGAAATGGACACAGCTAGCTGAGCCATATCCCAAGCCCGTCTCCCGTGCCCTAGCTAGATGGCTTGTAAGTAGCGCGTCAAGCATCGAGCACGCCAGGTGTGCACGCCTCATCTTGTAGCCAGTACGTGCGCACATGCATGCCCACGCCATTTTTTTCTGTTCTTTTTGTCTGCAGGTCTCTGTCGGCTGCCAGGCATCCAGTCTGGGGAATGGAGACTCGCCGGCGACGAATCGAGAGGGTCGCGCAGCCCATCTGCGCCCCTCACCCGGTGGGCGGATCAGCCTGCGCTTCGAGACACAAGATCTGGCCTGGAAAAGGCGCGGGGCCCGGGGCATGCCCTTGTTTTCTAAACGTGTTTGCCCTCGCCCCGCAGGACCAGGCCGACGCGATGCCGTTGCCATCGCCTCTGCTCAAGCTTCCATCCTCTGTCCCCTCCACCACCCTTTCCTTTTTCTGCCTGGTGTGTGAAATATCAGTGGAGACTCGCCGGCGACGAATCGAGAGGGTCGCGCAGCCCATCTGCGCCCCTCACCCGGTGGGCGGATCAGCCTGCGCTTCGAGACACAAGATCTGGCCTGGAAAAGGCGCGGGGCCCGGGGCATCCTCCTCCTCCTCCTCCTCTTTCTCCTCCTCGTCCTCCTCCGCCGCCTAGAGAAATGCCGCTTTGGGGGGATTCAACCTGTCGGCCCTGGCCAGCGGTCCAACCTGCAGTCGGACCGAGGTATAAGATCGAGGTCTATTCGGGGAGTGTGCCCTGGTGCTCTTGTGCCCTGGTGCTTGTTGGCTGTTCTTGCTCGTGCGTCATGGGGAGGGTGCTCTTGGATGTTCTGCTCGTTTGGCCGATGGAGGGTCTATTGTTCTTGAAGGATATTTTTCTGACCTACTCTGGGTTTCTTGATGAGCGTGGGGGGTACCCCCCCGACGGGGTCAACCTCGCCTCGCCGTCGCGCCGCGACGGGGGTCGGCGCGCCTTCGGCGCGCGGTGGCCACCCGCGACGGGGGTCGATGTGGGGCTGCCAGCGGGGGTGACGCACCCCCCCCCCGACGCTTACTAAACAACTCGGAGCAGGTCCGACCGTAGGCCATGGCTTCGCAGCGTTCCAGCCCCCGAGAGAGCCGCCCCCCCGCGACTTCGCGCGCGGTCCAGCCTGCACCGACCCGGGGCAGGCCCTCCCTCGGCCCCAGGACTCTCCCGGCCACGTTTTTTTTTTTTTTTTGTGTGTGTGTGTGTGTCGTGTGTGTGTGTGTGTCGTGTGTGTGTGTGTGTGTCGTGTGTGTGTGCGTGTGTGTGTCGTGTGTGTGTCGTGTGTGTGTGTGTGTGTGTGTGTGTGTCGTGTGTGTGTGTCGTGTGTGTGTGTCGTGTGTGTGTGTCGTGTGTGTGTCGTGTGTGTGTGTGTATGTGTGTGTGGGGCTCCAGCGGGCACCCCCTTGTGAGGTCAGGGTCGAGCTGAAGTACGAGGGGCGCCTCCAGTCTGGCGAGGTGGTCGACAGCTCTCCTGCCGGCGCCTCGGCGAGGTTTCCGCTCGGCCGTGGCCACGTGATCCGTGGCCTGGACGCGGCAGTGCAGGCGATGTCGACTGGAGATCGGGAGGGACAAATCAACACACACACACACAAAAAACACGCTCATTTCCATGAAGAGATGGGAAGATTTTCGGCGGCGAGCGATGGGGGGAAGTGAGAAGGAGAATGCCTTCTCAGAAGGATCGGGAGGCTCCCAGCCTTTGAGAAGTGTTCTAAGCTTCGCCCCAAGCACGGGGAATTCTAGACGCTTCGCGTATCCCCACCAGCCCGTCCAGAAATGAGCCCCAGGGGAGTGGAGGTGATGAGGGAAGCGGGGGAGCATGCAGAAGAACAAAGAGCGGGTTGAGCCGCCATACGCCCCAAGAGGGGGAGGATGTAGGAGGAGTCGTCGTCGTCGGAGTAGGAGGAGGAAGACGAGGAGCAGGAGGAGGAGCAGGAGGAGGAGGGGGAGGAGGAGGAGGAGGAGGAGGAGGAGGAAGATGAGGAGGAGGAGATGGAGGAGGGCGAGGACGAGGAGGACGAGAAGGAGGAGGAGGAGGAGGAGAAGGAGGAGGCGGAGGAGGGGGAGGGGGAGGAGGGAGGAGGGAGAAAAAGAGGAGGAGGAGGAGGACAATGGCGAGCTTGGGGGCCTCTTGGGCCGTCTTTGGGGCCTCTTGGCGGTCCCGGAGGCCTCTTGCGTATCTCGGGGAGCTTCTTGTGGCCTTTTGGGAGTCTCTTGGAGGCCTCTTGGAGGCCTCTTGGGGGCCTCTTGGGGCCTCTTGGGGCGCTCTTGGGGCGCTCTTGGGAGCTTTCGGGGCGCTCTTGGGGCCATCTTGGAGGAGATCTATCAAAGAAGGGGGGGTTGCTTATTAGCGTTGCCCCTCTAGAGTGCCTCGAATCGCCTCTTGGGCCTTCCTAGAGGCCAAATTCCGTCCAAAACCTAAGGAAAATCAATGTTTTTTGCTTTCTCGCCTTTTCGCTCTTGGAGCCGTCTTGGGCCATCTTGGGAGCATATTTAGGCCTCTTGGGGATCTCTTGGGAGCCTCTTGGGGGCATCTTGGGGGCCTCTTGGGGCCTCTTGGGGCCTTCTTGGGGCGCTCTTGGGGCGCTCTTGGGGCAATCTTGGAGCGCTCCTGGGCGCTCTTGGGGCCGTCTTGGAGCTCTCTTGGGCTTCTCTTGGTGCCTTCTTGGGCCATCTTGGAGCCATCTTCAGGCCTCGGATGGCCATCGGAAGCGAAAACGCGAGAAAGCCAAAAACGTTGATTTGCAGAGTTTTGGATGGATTTTGGCATCTTGGGAGTCTCTTGGGATCATCCTGGAAGCCTCTGGGGCGCTTCTTGGAGCCTCTTGGGGCCCCTCTTGGGGCGAGCGGGGGAGCATGCAGAAGAACAAAGGGCGGGGTGAGCCGCCATATCCCCCAAGAGGGGGAGGATGTAGGAGGAGCCGTCGTCGTCGGAGTAGGAGGAGGAAGAGGAGGAGTAGGAGGAGGAGCGCGAGGAGGAGCAAGCGGAGGAGGAGAAGGAGGATAAGGAGGAGGATATGGAGGACTGCGAGGACGAGGAGGACGAGAAGGAGGAAAAGGAAAAGGAGGAGGAGGAGAGGAGGAGGAGGGGGAGGGGGAGGAGGGAGGAGGAAGAAAAAGAGGAGGAGGAGGAGGACAATGGCGAGCTTGGGGGCCTCTTGGGCCGTCTTTGGGGCCTCTCGGCGTTCCCGGGGGCCTCTTGCGTATCTCGGGGAGCCTCTTGCGGCCTCTTGGGGGTCTCTTGGGGGCCTCTTGGAGGCCTCTTGGGAGCCTTTTGGGGCCTCTTGGGGCCCTCTTGGGACGCTCTTGGGGCGCTCTTGGGAGCCTTCGAGGCGCTCTTGGGGCCATCTTGGAGGAGATCTATCAAAGAAGGGGGGGTCCCCAATTAGCGCTGCCCCTCTAGAGTGCCTCGAGTCGCCTCTTGGGCTCCCCAAGAGGCCAAAATCCTTACAAAACCTATGGAAAATCAATGTTTTTTGCTTTCTCGCATTTTCGCTCTTGGAGCCTTCTTGGGCCATCTTGGGAGCCTCTTGGGGCCTCTTGGGGGTCTCTTGGGAGCCTTTTGGAGGCCTCTTGGGCGCCTCTTGGCGTCTCTTGGAGCCTCTTGGGGTTCTCTTGGGGCGCTCTTGGGGCGCTCTTGGGTGCCTTCGGGGTGCTCATGGCGCCATCTTGGAGGAGATCTATCAAAGAAGGGTGGAGCTTTAATTAGCCCCGCCCCTCTAGAGTGCCTCGAGTCGCCTCTTGGGCCCCCCCCCAAGAAGCCAAAACCCGTCCAAAACCTACAGAAAATCATTGTTTTTTGCTTTCTCGCCTTTTCGCTCTTGGAGCCGTCTTGGGCCATATTGGATTCTCTTGGGGCCTCTTGGGAGTCTCTTGGGAGCCTCTTGGAGGCATCTTGGGCGCCTCTTGGGGCCCTCTTGGGGCGCTCTTGGGGCGCTCTTGGGGCGCTCTTGGGAGCCTTCGGGGCGCTCTTGGGGCCATGTTGGGAATATATATCAAAGAAGGGGGGAGCCTCAATTAGCCTCGCCCCTCTAGAGTGCCTCGGATCGCCTCTTGGGCCCCCCCAAGAGGCCAAAATCCTTCCAAAACCTAAGGAAAATCAATGTTTTGTGCTTTCTCGCCTTTTCGCTCTTGGAGCAGTCTTGGGCCATCTTGGGCGTCCCAACGCGTCGCGGAACGCCCCGTCCAGGTCAGTGGGGAGGGGTAAGGGGAGGGGTAAACCCCTCCCCGAAGGGAAAGAAGGGGGGTTGGCAGAGGAAACGCTCTAGACCACCTACGCCCTAAAGGGCTGGTGGGACTTCTCAGAAGGCGCGAGGGTTTTTGCGAAGTCCCGCCGCCTTCTGCGAAGGCCTTCTCCTTCTCAGTTCGCCCCCTCGCTCGCCGCCGAGGTACAGGACACGGAGGGAACGCATAGCATTCGGGAAACACAAAAGCATAGCAATAATCTTTCAAATTGTGCCGATCCACAGTAGGGGGCCATGGCAAGACACACCCTGCTTGCCTCCAGGGCGCCCTGGGTTTCTTGGGCGTCCACGGTTTTGCCACGGAAAGCGTGACGCTCCCACGCCAAGAATCAGTGGGCATCCTGGGGTTGGGTCCTTGTGGCAGGCTTCTTGTGCACCGGCCTCCTCTGCAGTGGTGTCCCCCCCGGGCACCTCCAGGCGAGCACGCCGAGCTCCGCATCCGGGCGGACTACGCCTACGGCGTCGCCGGGCGGCCGCCTGCCGTGCCGCCGCACGCCACCCTCGTCCGCGGGCCGCAGTCTGGCCGCCCGGCCAGTGCTCGGGAGAGGGGGGGACCTCGGATCGGGGGCCCTCAAACGGGGTGGTGACCACACCGTGTGGTGAGTCGGTGGGGTTTCGGGGTCACCGCACCGTGTTGGGGCTCGAGTCCCTCTCTGGGGATGTCTTGGGCGACAGGGGCCTCCAGTGTCCCAAGACCGTGCGGTGAGGTCTCTTGAGGTTCCGAGGTCACGGCACGGTCTGTCACCACACGTTTTTGGACGCGTGAGTCGAAGGACGCGTAGTTCGGGGGCGGCCAAGAGGGGGGTGATGACTAGGGGGGTGATACCATGGCGGGGGCCAGGATATCTTCCCAGATTTCATAGCGCATCTCCTTGTTTCAACACGTCCCCGACCCCCCCCCCCATGGGCCGCGCACATGCCGCCGGCCATGGGCCATGGCAATCGAACGGTGGAGCTCCGTGCGGGTTTCTCGAATCGGCGCGAGGTCCCCCCTGGCGGCGCCTCGGGCGCCGATCAAAAAAATAGATTCGCGCAGAGCTCCGACGGTTTGTGCTTATGCAGTTTTCTCTTCCTCTACTGTGGGCCCACCCAAGAATGTTCAAACCTTACCTTTTCGCGGGTTGCACCAAAGGTAATTCGAGCATTTCTGGCTGAGACCGCCTGGTTTGAATACATCGGTCTTCCGTTCTAAGATCTTGTTCTTTGTCAGAACGTTTGTCCATTCTAAGACCTTATCGTGGTAAGCCGGTAGGAATGCCAAGACGGTCAGTCCTTGCTCGACGCTCGCGCCACGAACAAGCACACGACGAAAGTTGCTTGTGTTACTGTCGTTCTCGGCATCCAGGGACCTTCGCCGGGGCCGTGCGGCCGGCCCGGGAGGAAACAGCAGTCCCAGGCAGGGCGCCAACAGACTTCCTGGGGGGCCCTGCTGCGAAAGAGCGAAGGATTGCAAAAAAAACAAGGATTGCAAAAAAACCCAGGATTGCAAAAAAAAAAAAACACGTAGGATTGCAAAAAAACCGTGGATTGCAAACAAAAAAAATGTTTTTTTTGCAATCCGACGCTTGATGCCTGCGTGCACGTCACCGCCAGGCGTCCGCAGGCTCCTTCTGGGCCCGGCCGGCCGGTAATCCGAAAGCCCAAATGAGGTGACAATGTGGCCCCTTCTGTGAAAGGGGGGCGACATGTGATGTGTGCAGAGGCCCCTCTGTGAAAGAAGGGCTCCTCCAACAAGCCCATCCGTGAGAGAAATGCTCTGCCCTGCCAAGTCGACTTGCCCTCCGGTTCTCGAGGGGGCGTTGCGTCCGCACTTGTTGTTTCAGGCCTGCGCCCGCCTGGTCCAGTCCAGGGCCGCGCTCCTGTGCGGTCGGACCAGGGCATGAGTTCGAGGTCGGATCAGGGAGGGTGCCGTGATGTTCGTCGTGTTTGCTGGTTGCCTTTTGTGCATCCTTCGAAGAAGGCAGAATGCCATAAACAACAACCTGTGGCGGTCCGCGCGGATCTCCTGGGTCCGCGCTGGGCCCCCCCGGCGGCGCCTCCGGCGCCGCCCCTGGCGCGCTCCGCTCGCCAGGGAGGGGGGCCCAGCGCAGATCCCAAAAATCCACGCGGAGCGCCAAACGTTTCTGTTTATGGTTTTTGTTTTTCTTCTCGCGACTTGCCCGCCGTCGGTTCTCGAGAGGGTGCTACGTCCGCACCGGTTTCAGGCCTGCGCCCGCTGGGTCCAGTCTTGGACCGCTCCTACACTGCGGCCGGGTCGAGGCCTAAGTCTTATGCCTCGACCCGACCGCAGTGTAGGAGCCGACCGACCCCGAACCGACCTCGATCTCTTCTGCCATAAGAGATCGAGGTCGGACTACTTGCCCATCGTCACTGCGCCCTTGCAGCGCTCGTGGGTGCGCCCTTGTCTCGGCCCCGGCTGCTGCCGCGATCCCCGCTGCATCGGTTGGCCGCTCCGGCTGCTCCACGCGGAACTCTTCCACGCCTGAGCGCTTTCTCCTCCTCCCCCCCCCCACGCGACCGTCCTCGTTTTACTTCCTCCCCCTTTGCACGCTGGCCAATTCGCTCGTCGGTTGCCCCGAATCGCTTCCCGCTGGTGCAGTATACCTCTGCCTCGCCGCCGACGTAAACAGTGTTTGTTAGGTGTTCGTGTGCATCCTGGGGGAGGGCATCCTCGAATGTTCAGTTTGGGCCGCGGAGGGTCTCCATGGCTCCATGGTTTTGAGGGAGGTTCGTCTGTCTTATAGGGCCGACTGTGAGGGTGCTTTGCTAAAAGGGTTTATGTCCACTCCCGTATGATGGGAAGTCCAGGATTTCCAGGTGTTCTTGTTGCTCCGAGCACACTCCAGACGCGATGGCCGGCAGATTGTCTTCAACTTCTGGAGCGTGTCCCGAAACACGACATCGTTCTCGTTCTGAGAAGGGGAGCCCCTGGCTGCAGTCATAGAGCCCTCGGAGTCGTTGCTCGACCGCCCCACAGGGCCCGAAGAGGGACCTCTGAAGGCCCAAAGTTTTGGAAGGCATCGCCCATCGTCGTGCATGGTGGTCGCGCGCGTTCTCCCCGACCTCGGGCGCGAGGGCGAAGAGGTAGGGCTGCATGCACAGCAGTATATGCCCGTGCGAGCACGCCGCGTCACCCTCCGACACCCGCACGGCCGAGCCGAGGTCCGATCCGATCCTCTTCCCTGCTGTCTCCCTCCATCCTCCCGTCGCCTGTTCCTGTCCTCCTCCTTCTCCCTCCTCTCTCCCACGCCCCCCCTCCTTCATTCTCCTCCATCTCCCTCCCTCCCTCATCCTTCTGGGAGCGGGGGCTGGATTCTGGCCCGTTGCCGATCTACGCGGTCGAGCTTCTCGGCTTCGAGGCCATCGACGCTTGCGAGGCCGAGACAGTCGAGGCTGGTGCTGCGGGCGAGGCCATTCCTCCTCGTCGTCGTCCTCCTCGTCGTCCTTCTCCTCCTCCTCCTCCTCCTCCTCCTCCTCGTCCTCCTCGTCCTCCTCACCCTCGTCCTCCTCGCCCTGGTCCTTTCCGTCCTCCTCCTCCCTCTCGTCCTCCTCCCCTTCGTCCTCCTCGTCCTCGTCGTCCTCCTTCGTCGTCCTCCTCGTCCTCCTTCCCCTCCTGGTGTCGGCCTGTTCTCAGCAAGTCAGCGGGAGCGCGTGATCTTTGAAAATCGTGTTCGATCTCGGGTGACCTGCGGGGGAGTGCCAGTCCAGTAGACGCGCATCACGGCCGCGGCCGTGGTCAGAGTGGACGCCCGACCGCTAGGATGGAGGCTCCGCCATGGAGGAGATCCTGTCTCCGAATGGCTACAGACAGGAGCACACAGAGAGAGGGAGCGAGAGAGAGACAGCAGAAAATGAAGAGAGGCAAAGGTAATTATGAGCTCCGCGATATATATATATATATGTATATATATACACACATATATATATATGTGTCATCCCAGCAAACAGCTGAAGACAGCTGTGCGGAGGTATTGCGCGCCGCGCTAGCTCGTCTTAACTGCTCATGTGCTTGTCACGAGACTTCGCAACAGCAGCCACGGCAACGCGGCCGCTGTCGCCGCTCCCTCGGCGCTGCCAGCGACAGAGGGAGCGGCCCGCATCGCCAGGCAGGCCGGCGAAGCTTCGAGCGGCGCACGCTCGTAGAAGCTGAGAGTGCAGCGGGCAGCTCGAGCTGCCAGGCTGAGCTAAGCAACAGCAAGCACGCTCGACACGGACTCGTGCTCCGAAACGCTCACAAGCACACTCGGCATCGTCAGAAGGTGATCCCTCAGGGGTCTCACAATCGCACAACCCGAGCTCGCTCGGCTCTGGGACGCGGCGCTCGCAGATCCACCGCACTGCCCGCGTATGGCCTTGCTCCCGCTCGTGTGCAGCGCGTGTTTCTGTTCTGTTCAACTGCTCATCCACGGCGGGGTCGCGCGCGTGATTCAAACAAGCGGTTTCGAGCCCCGCTGGGTCGATTCACTGGGAGGTGGCCGCCCCCCCCCCGTGGGGTTTAAAGCAAACGCGGGGTTCGGACGGGTTCATTGTGATTCACAAGCAGACATGTTGGTTAATAGTATGCCTCTGCCTTCTCTTCGAGCATGCCTCAACATTTTCTGTTGTGACGGCGCCGAGCTGCCCTCGAGGACACACAATACTAGATCGTAACGAATCGTTCCGTGTTATTCCATTCCGTTCCGTTATTCCTCCTCCTCATGTTGTTTGTCTTCCTACCCCTCCACTCTTTTTATTTGACTCACAGCCCCGCGCATTGCTCATGCTCCTCGTCCCCATTTCCCCATTCTCCTGCTTGTGCTTCTAGTCCTCATTCGCCTCATCCCCCCTTCTCATGCTTCCTCCTTCCCGTCCTCTCCGCATCCTCCTCGTCCTCTTCCTCCTCCTTATCCTCTCTCGTATCTTCCTTTTCGTCCTCCTCCTCCCTTTCCTCCTCAGTTGCCAGCGCTGCCTTACGGAAGTGGCGGTGCCGCCGCTGCGGAGGTCGAGGATCGATGGATACGCAATCAAGAAGTGCCCCGCCCTTCGGGGGACCCTCGCTACCGACTCGTGCCGACCTTGCCTAGGTCAGGTTCGCACCGTCTCGACGAGTCGGTAACGTCGACGCAGGCGGTCAGAGCTAAACATCGAGGGGGCGCTTCAGGGCCAAGGACCCACCTAACATCACCCGCGGCAAGGAATCCGTACGACAGATGAGCGATGGAAGAAGACGGTGTCGTCTGCGACGACCTTGGCGCGCGAGCTGCCCGCGTAAGGTCGCGCGCAAGCGCCCTCGCTTCCAATGTAGCGTGCAGCACCGGCGGCCCGCGCAAGCCACCACGCAAGGTCGCTGTGGCATCTCGCGTACGACCCTTTTCTGATCGTCGCTCAGATGAGGCCTCCTCCTCCTCCTCCTCCTCCTCTTCCTCCTCCTCCTACCTATAATGGTGGTGGTGGAACATGGGCCCATCAACATCGTCCAGGCAGGGACAGGCCGTGCCCCTCCCTCCGGGCTCGCCGTGGACGAGAGGAGCATGGCGAACGTCTCTGCCTCGCTCCGGGCCCAGGGGCCCCCTCGCATGGATTCGACCCGAGAGATGCTGCATGAAGAATTGGTCGGGGGTCCTGGTCGTGTTTTCACCGCGCTTTGGCCTTTCACAAGAAGATGGATGTCAGCGGCAACCGGACGTTCACCACCCACACACAGCCGAAGAGCACCGCCCGCACGGAGTCGAACGTGGTGACGGTGACGTGTGCGTAGCAGATGCAGGGAAGCACGCAGCCACGCGCATGGGTTACGTTGTCCCCCATTGGCCCGCTTCCCCCTACCTGGCCCTACCTCTCCCTTTCCCCTCCGCCTTTTCTCCTCCGCGCTCCCTCTCCAGAGGAGGGTTCGCAGACTATCATGGTCGGTGGAGCTCCCATCAAGGTCGACAAGCTCGGCCCGGTCGTCGTGAACAGCGATGGTTCGATCAACCGCATTGCGAACTGGGCGGAGATGACCGAGCGAGAGCAGCAGAACACGCTGCGAATAATAGGCAAGCGGAATCAGCAGCGTCTCGCAGCTCTGCGCGAGTCTTCAGACCCGCCGAGTGGAAGCCAGTAGCTCCAGAAAAAGCTAGGCTGTGCGCCCCCCTCTTACGTGAAACCATGTGGCGCGGTGCACCCTGAGTAAAAAGGGAAAGGAGCAGAGGAGGGAATTTAGGAGACGGTGGAGGGAGGATGCGGAGCAGCAGCTGACGGAGGAGAAGGGTGCGATTAACCAGAGCTGCGGGACCAGGACGAGCAAGAGGAACATGCAGACGAGAGGGAGGAGCAGGAGGAGTAGGAGGTTGAGCGAGGGGGAATGCATGACAGGGGAGGTGGAGCAAGGAAGGGATGGATAGAGGATGCAGGTGGACAGGGATGAACGAGCAAGGGAAGGTATCGGATGAGAAGCAGGATCGATGTCCAGCTTCACCAGCGTCCTCCCCCTGCTCGCTCCTCCTCCTCGTCGTCGTCACATGTTGCCCGGGTCTTAGCAGGCAGGGAGCCATCCTCAGAAGAACCGAGGAGTCACGGAAGATCTCGCCAGACCAGAGCTTTTTCGTTTCGTGCACATCCACGTGATGCATGCGCGAAGTAATGCAGCGTGGATGCTTGTGTGTGTGTCTTTGTTGCTTCGCTTGGCTGCTTCGCTGCCCGGCATACAGTCAAGATGTTGATATTGGGACCAGTTTCGGCTCAAGAGGGGCTCTGGTTTTCAGGCCGATCCTTAGATTCGGGTCAAAGAACATATGTTATGGACGAGGTTCGCCGCAGCCAGAAAAAATACCTTCGTTCCTTGTTTAGCATTCCTTCTGGAAGCACGATGATGGTAGACGCGCGAAAAGTTGAGACTGGTCCTTATGTCATCATTCGCTCTGACCCTGCTATCTTCTTGTTTGGGGCACGCCCTATCAGCCATGATGTCACGTATGCTGGTTATCCCTTGTGCTTCCGTTCATCAAAGTTCCCGCGACACCGAGTGGAACGATTTTCCGTCGCGTCAGAACTGGCATAGTCAAACCAAGTAGCGAGTCATATGTTGCATATTGGTTTGGCGATACCTCGGATAGTGGTGAGCTTTTCATGTTGATGTTCACCCTTCCGCGCGGCAGGCGTTTGCCTTCCCAGACGAACAGCTCCCACTTGCAGGCGTGCTTGCCGGCAGCGGCTTCCATTCCGCACGCGCACTGCGGGCGGCCAAGGCGCCGTGCTCAGCGGCTGCGCCTCTCTGCGGAGCACCTCCGACGCTCACGCTGGAGGCGGAGAGGACTCTGTTGGGGCCATGCCGCTCCGGACGGCTGTTGGGGGTGTTATATCGGTGGGACCAGACCTCCTCCTCCTCCTTTTCCTCCTCCTCCTCCTCCTCCTCCTCCTCCTCTTCCTCCTCCTCCTCCTCCTCCTCCTCCTCCTCCCCTCGATCGGGTTAACACCGCTCGCTGGTCTTTCGGCCCCCGCGCCTTGGGGGGCCAGGGCCGCCCCTGCCCCTGGGGGGTTGCCGCACGGGGGAGCACGGCGGCCCTGGTTGTCGGGGGGAGCGGGGGAGGGAAGCAGAGGGGAGATCGGGGCCAATAGCATGTCCACTATTCTATGTTAAGTTTGTCCACCCCTCAGAAGCAAATGGCAGCCCAAACACAGTTTTGTCATTGTTGTTCCACATCAGTCGCCAGGAGAACTGGCCAGACAAATTAGACACCATACGCTGTCATGTGGCGTTACTGCGAAGCCCCATGGGAAAGGGCACAGATACCTTGGTCAATCTACGCACGGTTCAAACGGGACGCGCGAGTTAGGTGCGTTCGCGCCACATCTGAAATCCCTTTCCACCTTCCCATCACTCCCCATTGCGCTAATTCCTTGTCAGTTTTCCGGGTTTGTTGCCGCATCGGACCTGGATGTTTAGATGGCATCTGCAGTGCTTGCCCCGCCGTTCACGTCGCGAATAGCAAGGCGACCACACGTGACCAGGAAGTGAGGGGTGCGGTCGGGCGTCTTCTTGGTAGGTGAAAAGACAGCGTGCACACTCGAGTTGTGCCGTGGTCGGAGCAGGCGATCTAATGCCGAGGCCTTGGCACGCCTTGGACGTAGAGCAAGGGGAAGCAAGAGGCGGGGAAAGACAGTTGGAATTGACAGGGCGGCGGAATGGAAGTAGTGGGGGAAAAGTAGAATGATAGAGGAGGGGGCGATGTGGAGGACAAGAGAAGGGGACAGAGGGTGGAGTACAAGGATTGGGGAAGGGGAGTGGAGGGGAAGGTGTGGGGATTGGGAGGGGCGAGGGAGTGAGGAGGAGGAGGAGGAGAAGGAGGAGAAGGAGGAGGAGGAGGGGGAGAATGAGGAGGATCCAGCTACGGTCTCCCGCTGCATGGAAGGCGGCGGCGGGACTCCCGCGCGGGCTCCCGCAGCGGGTGTGGCGGCAGCCACTCCGGCCGGCCCGCGCTCTCCGGGGACGCGCGCACTCACGGCAGGCCGTACTTGGTGGTGAGAGGGGATCTAGGGCTTCCAGGCGATGTCTGAGTAGATGGAGTCGGAGGACCGCGCCGCATCGCCGATGCATCGACGGTGCGGCTCGAGGTGGAGCCAGAATTTCTTCACGCCAATGGCGCCGATGAATCGCCGACGTCGCCGATGCATTGCCGATGCATCGCCGATGCATTGCCGAGGCGGCGGCGCGATCCTCCGACTCCATCTACTCGGACCCCATCCAGGAGGCCTCCAGGAAAGTGCTCACGTTGAGTAGACAATCGGAAACAGGGGGCAGAGCGGCAGGGGTGTAGCAGGTGTCGAGGTGAGAGCGCCTGTCACAGACGGCCAAAGACGATCTGAGTGAACGAAAACGCAGGAATGATCAAATGCTTGCAAGCGTGGGCCCAAGCAGCAAGCTCTTGCACTGCACGTTAAGATATGTGGCGCAAGCTATGTGGTGCTAGCTTTTCTGTGCAAGACGTGACTTAAGCTATGAGATGTCAGCCACGTGATGCACGCTATTTGGTGTAAGCCATGCGATGCAAGCTATGTGGCATTAGCTCTGTGGGGTAAGCCATCTGATGCAAACCGTGAGATGCTGTCCTTGTCATGCAAGCTGTGCTGTGCAAGGTACTGTGTGCAGTCTGTGTGGTACCGTGTATTGTGTGCCATCTATGTGGTGGCAGCTGTGTGGCGCAAGCTACAGTGCCCCCTCCACCTCGCAGTCAAAGGGCGTACCATCGCACGAGGCGCCCACGGGGGATCCACGGGCGGGCGCTGGCCGAAAACACGACACGCCCACCCAGCGCACGGTGCGCTCACACTGCAGCCGTGCCGGATGACTCAGAAGTGCCATCGCTGGCATCAACGTTCCTCGTTTCGTTCGGGAGCCTTGAGACGGGGGTCAATGCAAACAGGTCACGGAGCGAGTTCCAATACTCGCAAAGTGCCTACTCGCAAACGTCCGAAAAACACATGATTGCTTTGATGTAATTGATCGTAGATCCTCTGCGGGGGATCCAGGCCATTTGCGAGTAGTCACCTTGCGAGTAGCAGGGCCAGGGTCGCATTGACCCGGATTTGGGTGCAGGATCCTGCAGGATCTTGCAGGATCCTTCGCGTTGACCCGGTGACCTGGGCTTGGGTGCAGGATCTTGCAGGATTTTGCAGGATTCTGCAAGGCCTGACTGACCCAGGTTTGGATTGACCCGGGTCAGAAGATCTCCGATTCGTACCCTGGGACCTGCTCGTGTCTTCCGTTCTACCCAGGCAATGCGACCCAGCATGCTTACGACTACGGCGTGCCAGAAAATCAAGAAGGCCTGCTAGTGAGGCCTGCCTTGAGCCATTCCTTCTGATATTGCGAAGGCCTTACGGCTGGTGCCGCCGACCCTGAAGACGACGAAGATGAAAACGAGGGTGAGGAGGAGCTGCCACTCGTCTGCTGTCCCGATCTCGACGTCCTCGCCCTCCGCACCGCCGCCCTCCGCGCACTGCTCATCGCTCGCGTCGTCCGCCTCGCCGTGCTCATCCTCATCCTCCCAGCCCTCGTCTGGCCTCGTCCTCCCCACTCTTCTTGGACCGGCTGCTGGCGGCACCTGGCGGCGCGCAGGCGCATCACGCGGCGTGTGCGGACAAGGCCCGCAGTCGAACGGGGCTAGGACGAGGACAGCAATCCGTTCCAGAGCGTTCCGGCACGTTCTCGGAGCATTCCCGAACGAGAAGGCCGCGGGGCTGGAGACGTCTTGCAGAGCCGCCGCATCCCAGCTCAGAGGTTCTCGATCTAGCCTCACCCGAATGTACTCTCGTCCTGGCGTCGTCTAACTCAGCGACAGGCCCAGCCCAATCCAGACGGAACGCCCTGTGATGACCGATGAAGAAGAAGATGGTGTATGCGGAGCAGCCTAATTCTGGAGTAGCTCCACCTGAGAGAACGTCCTCCTCCTAGCTCTGTGATGACCGATGTGCACCGCGGGCGGTCCTCCGCCGCGCCCTCCTCCGAGTGGGCCGCGTCTCCCGGAGGCCCAGCCGAACACCGCCGGTGGGCGTGTCATGGCGTCCCCGGAGCGAGGACCAGCACGCCTCCTGAAAGAAGAGTGTCGGCCGACTTGGCGGCCCGCGCCCTTGCTCGAGGAGGAAGAGGGGGGAGCGACCTCAAGACTCGAAGAAACAATCCCGACGAAGCGGCCAACGCGACAGACGGAGCTGCCTGCGCCCACAAGCCCCAAGGATCACGCCGAAGGAGTCGAGGAAGGTGGTTTGCTGCCCCACGTGGCGACCTCCTCCATTGCTCATACTTGAGCCTTGCAGTTCAGCAGGACGACCTACGTGGAACCGAAGTTGCTGAATAACAACTGCCCATCTACATGAGGGCCGGAATTCAAGCTTCGAGCGAAGCCGGGGAGATGATGATGATGATGAGGAGGAGGAGGAGGAGGACCAGTGTAAACCCAAGAGTCATCAACGTTGT